GCTTAAGGGAAACAAACACTGACTATCCAATTGCTGAGAAAAAGAAAGGAAAATTTGAGCCATAAATTGCTGGATACCTGAAGATAAAACAGTCTTTTTTAGACTAGGTAGTAACAATTACATACAAGTTTTTATCACTTTTTAGAATACTTATTTCTCCACCAGAAATATATAACTTTATCCAACAGTCAGTAAAAGCCCATAAAGCCACCAGTTTGGTTATTACAGAACACACCACAGCTTACAGGAATGTTGGCTTTAGATATTCAAAATTTAAAATCAAACTTAGAGCATCTTCAGGTTCACGGCGTAAAACTTTCTAGTTTCAAAACCCCCATAATAACATGGAAAGAGTTGCTGGGCGTTGGAATGGGCTGCCCAGGGAGGTGGTGGAGTAACCACCCATGGAGGTGTTTAAGAAGAGACTGGATGTGGCATCTGTGCCGTGGTCTGGTTGCCATGATGGTGTTCAGTCACAGGTTGGACTCAGAGCTCTTTTCCAACCCGACTAATTCTGTGATTCTTCTTCTTCTTTTTTTTTATTTTTTTAAGATAAAAATAAAAGAACAGGAGCTTTCCTACCAGAGTTCTTCCAGATTACAACCTTCTGCAATGGTATTTTAAGGCTGATATAAACCTACGTCCAACACAAAATACTTTAGGGGAAATTATTTTGAATAATTAAACTTCTGATATTTCCATTAGAAGCAAAGTGATAATTTCTTTTTCTATAATAGGACATAATTTCTCACCTAGGACATACAGTTTAGCTTATGGCATGTCTGATAATTAACCTGAGGAAGACAACACTGTTCCAGAATTTACTGTGTTACAGATACAGTACTAAGTATAAAGTGTTCACAGAATTGACATGTAATCTATAAAGATTATAAAAGAATTGCAGAGTGTTCTGGGCTTATAAAAGAATTGAAGACTATAATAAGAAAAAACATACATGGAAGTTGCTATAATTCAAAGTATTTCTTTCTAGAGGCATGTATAACAACATTGTTCTAAGTACAAGAGTTCAGGGGACATGGATGACACCGTAACACCTTGGCCAGGCAGTGAGAGTCCAGGAGAGTGACTCTTTCTGAGAGTAAATCAGAACTGGAAATACACTGAGAAATACCATCCTAATAAGGAAGGTAAATTAAAGTCAAAGACTCATGATTTCTTGCACAGAACATTTTCCTAAATAAAAAAACAGTCCTACCAACTATTCACCCCTCTGCTTTCTTTAACCACAATACGAGGATGAGTGATTTACAATATATTGGAGCTGGGTTAGGAAATGGAGAGGATGTTGTCAGGTCTCCCAAAATACATATGAATAGTTAAGGAAACTACGCTGTAAAATAAATTGATTTGCTTCACAGGCTCTTGAAATGTCCTCAGGAACAAGCAGTTAACAACTGCCAATACAGGAATGAAGCAAAATTAGCACTGAAATACTGTCTCAGTGTGCACTGTATCTCCTCCTCCAAAGTCAGTGGACTTAGGCTCTCTTATGAGTAGAAGGAAAACTATTTTTGAACAGTAATTTCTCATACTTGAAGGACTGAAGATCTCACCTAGCTCAAGAATCCAATTTTATGAGGTGGAATGGTTTTGTTTTCTTGTTTTCTTGAACTCCCAGACGAGGCTGTGAACAGACAGGTACCACCCATCCTAGGCTACTGCCTGTTCAGGAGCAGGTCTTTGCGGGGTCACAGTTAGGATGTGGACTGTTTTTTGGGTCACCAGTCACATATATAAAAAGCCACTACTTTCAGAACACATACAACTGGTTCCTGACAGGTTACCTCAGGTCAAGTCAAAGCAGCAGGAGTAGTCAAGTAAAAAACTGTATTTATCATGTCAGTACCTCTTGAACCAGAATAAGTTCCTAGGCACACTTGTGCAGAAACCACAGTTAGGGTCAGAGGCTTGAGGCACCACGTCTTATGGAGCAACCCCACTCACTAAATGGCTCAGCTATTGCAGGTTGCCCTTTCTTATTCATTTTTTTTAACTGTTAAAGTGTATTGCTCAAATGTCCTCACCAACACACATCATTTATGATGTAAGATTTTACTGGCAGCTCATCTACGGATGAAGAGTCTGCATTTTACCCTTTAATACCTTCCCCAGGCTTGTTTTGAGATTACAAGACTGAGAGTGGCAGGCCCCTCCATGAGGATGCACCAACACTGTTCATCACCAAAAGAACCCTTTTTTTTTTTTTCAGCTTGTGCCACAACTCTTGCATTTATTTGTGATTAACAGACAAGTTCTTTCTCTCCCCCCAGGACTCAGAAAGGAAAGCTCCCTGTTGGCCTCGTCCAGGCTAACCCTCTGCTGAAGTGAGAGAAATAGGGAATGTCACTCCTTCCCCAGCATCACCTCCTCCCTCACCATTATTGGTAGGAAAACTGGCCAAGTGTGGGAAGGTGGGCAGAGAGCAGTGCAAGACCCATCAGGCAGTGAGTCTGGGTATTTACAAAGCATGGAGCAGACACTGTTCTGCCTCTTGAGCAGGGGAAAGAGATTTTTCAGGACCCAGGAAGAATTTGGGAAAATAGGCAAAATATCATCTTTGCGAAGACTGTCTGGATTAGGAGGAGAATTGTGTTCACATCTTTTATTTTTATTCCAAAGAAGACCTGAGTTCTTCTACAGCAAATGTTCAATGCTCTGCTCTGGTTTTCAGTGAAACTTTGCTTAAAGACAATGCTCTTCTGGTGCTTCACGTGCCCACCTAAAGGAAGCAGGGGAAGATAAATTCTCCTCAAAACCCTAGGCCAAGTCATGGTCCCCTCTCATGAACTAATCAGAAAGCAAGCTTCACTTGCAGGAAGAGATTAACTACTTTTTTTAAGTGCACATTATTAATAATACCTTGCTTAACCTGGTTATTTCTTTTGAGACAGAATCATTTTTCAAGACTTCTGGAGGATTCTAGAGCAGAGGATGACTAATACACTTGGCATTTCTAAAGTGACTTTAAATTTGGGTATTATTAAAGCCTGTTATTTTCAGATTTGTTTAGAGTCTATTCTAAAATAAGAAAAAAAAATAGAGGTTACAAGCAAATCAGAATAACTAAAGATTTCTCAAGAAAGAAAAGAAGGTTGATGAGATGGAAGAAGCTGAAGAACTCTTCCTAATGGTCTCTACAGTATGCGCAAACATTGAAGTAGAACTGTCCAATGTTTTTTTGAAACAAAACCTACTACCTTATTATGACACAGAAACAGATGGGTTAACATTTCAACTAAAGAAACAAAAATTTCAGCCAAGGGACTTCTGCTTGTCTGGAGAATTTTGTAGCCACGGAAATAAAAGGGAAGCAAAATGAGGCCATTTCCAGACCAGGCATGCTGGAAACTAACAACTGATTCTATACAAATGAATCATTTAAGAACAAGGGCCTCTGTTTTGTTTTGTTTTGTTTTTTCTGAAGGAAATACAAAATTCTTATGATGTAGAAATGTTTTATGTGTGATTAATTACTTCCTTAGACAGGTATTGCCTGTGGCTCTGCAAAATAAGGAAATAACTGCTACTTCTTTCTCATCAAGAATTTAACCAAGCACTGTCACATGGAAAAAAAAAAATTCTTTTATGTCTGTACCCTTAAAAGCTGAGACAGGACAGAAGAGAAAAGTGGGGCCAACTTGCCAAGCAAACAAGCTGGTCAGATGCAGTTAAAGATTAGTCACGGACCTTTTTCCATCAAAAGAATTGGGTACAGGGGTGTGAATAAAGCACTTGGTAGTATACAGTGCTAAGTGACAGGAACGACCATTACTGAGATTTATTCCCATAACAGATGACAAATTTTAATCCTCTAAAATAATTCATGAGCTTCAGAAAGTGGGAAGAGTCGAGAAAAGCAATATACCAGGTCTTCCTCATGAACAGGAGGGACGCAGTCCTACGCTCACAATCAGTAGCAAGGTGGTTAGACATATGCAAACATAAGCACATCTTTTTCTTAACCACTTAAGGACAAAATTTAAAGGAAGACTCTGTAAAAAACCTTTTAATAGGCACAGTCAGTGTAAGAAATCTCACTAGTACACAAGCGAAGCACAATAAGGATTACATGACATTGGATATCTATGAGGAGACTAAATTCCAAAGTACCCTCACAGAAATGCTCCTCTGAAGGAGAAACTACAAGAATAACATCTGACCAGCATCACAGAGCTTTGCAGACTTCAACATGTGCTCATCTAATGATGCTAACATGACTACCTGACATTTTTTCTGAGCATAAGAGTTGGCATTACCAGGGCACTGCATCCCTAAAAAGAAAAAAAATCAGTACTACAAGTGAGAAAATACGGTTCTTCAGGCAGAACACTGAAAAATGTCCTGCTTTAGAAAACTGCACCATATTGCAGCTGGAATCACAATTTGCAGTAAATACGTGTGTTTTCAGATTAAGAGTAGCATTTGGAACCATAGTTTTAAGTGATGAAGTATCATGGAATTTGCATTAACTAAGATACTAGGAATTCTGACATTACAGTCAGTTTTAAAAAAAAAACAAACCAGCAAATGCTAATGTTCAGTGCTACTTAAAAAGTAAGTATTCTTCTGTTGTCGTGGGCTAGATTTAATTACTGCATTGCAAAGATATTTAGAGATACCAACACTTAAGATTTACCTACAGAGGCCAAATGTGGCACTGTACAGAATTAAATCAATTTCATGGCAACAGTGTGAATCAAAATATTCTAGGAAGGTAATAATAGTCCTCTGTGTTTGGATCAAACATCTAATCCCTTTGGGGGGGAGGACACAACATTCTTAAAAATTAATTTTTATGGAGTCCTTTAACCTCGCTATCCCTGCTTGGAATCAGAAGTATTAAGTGACACAAGGTTACCTTTCTTACAGACTTGCATTAACAGGTAAATCAAGGGAACGTACAATAACAGTATTTTTGATGGTCCTTTCCAAAGTATGTTTATATTTAGGAAGGTGAAGAAAAAGAAACTACATTTTACCTTTGGGTGTTGGAATTGGTCTCTCAAGTCTATCCACATGACCTAAGGGGTCATTTGAATCTGGAATTTCCATTTCACCTAGGAAGGAATAAAAAGATTTGGTTGAATTGAGGTTCTGGGTTAATCTTTCTGTTAAACAGCGTTACACCATTGAGTTCAGCAAACTCACTCAGTCCAGATTCTGCTCCCAGAGTAGCACACAGGAAACATACCCTGACAAGGTCAGGATTTATCCACTGCAGATTAGAAAACTTTACAATAATTTACTTTGTGGATTTGTGTTTGGCAAAGACGGGTAGCACTGAAAACTACTTTTCATTTCTTACCAGAATAAAATTCAAACAGTTTTACAAAGAATACAAATATTTCCTGTCAGCAGTGCTAGCTTGCAAAATTAAGCAGCACCTCAGCTGTACTGACAGTCTCAGTTGCAAAATGACATAAGTTTACCTTTGAAGTTACATTACAGTAACTCAGATTCTATTTCCAGGGGTCAGACTCATCATCGCTGCTGACTTTCTTATCCTGTTCTCAGCCTCATCCCTAAAGGATATCTTCCACAAATGAAAATATAATGATGTTACTTAAGCATTTCAAAGCATGAGGAAAGGGATAGAGATCTTCTGTCTGTCCTCCTTGTTTGTGTCTAACATATCAGAGCAAGTCAGCAGACAGCAGACAGTACTTTCATGTTCCTTTGCATTTGTAGGTCTTGCTGAACCCTGACCATTATAAATCAGTTGACCTGTCTACTCTCCCTTTTGAAAATATGATGTTGTAAGGAACAGAGCTGAAATTCTACATCAGATAAAGCTGCAGATGTGCCTTAACTAAAACAACTTCTAAAATTACATCCCTTTTTTTTTTTTTTTTGACCTTTTCTAATTTACATTTAATTGTCAAAATTCTTTATGGCTTTGGGATGTCACCAAGAGAGCACATAAATCTAAGGTCATCAGAATCTAAAGTGAAAGATCTGGGGTTTGTAGATCTGTTAGGGGTGTCCACTCTATTGTTCTGGGTAAAATGAAACTAGAGAAAAGGCTCTCTCTCTTCCTTTTGTCCACATTACCCTTTCTCCAAATTACACCCTACAACAATACTTTGACTGCAAGTCACAGTGATAAGATACAAGTAACACCATCCCTATCTTCCGCCACATTATGAAAGAAGAAAATAACTGACACTTGTTTGTTTCCCCTTTAGTCTTTTACCCATTATTTGAGAACAGATTTAGCTAACTTGCCTTTAAGTCTACAAGGTGAAACACAGAAATTGAAGACATTCTCTACAACAGCCCGGGTCTGAAAGTATCTATTTTGTCACAGTCCTGCCTTCTTACCAGTACTTCATCTCTCCCTTCATCTCCCACTGCTCGAGGTTCCTTGCCTGACACTAGTGCAGATTCCACTTGATTTGTGTGCTTATTCCCAGACACCCCAACTAGAGTGATGGTGAAGATGGTGTTGTACCCTTGGTAACACACTCTTTCAAACTGGAACAGCCAAGGCTTGGACAGATATCATCTTCTGCCACTCCCAGCACTGGCCACTGGAAATGAGAGACAGTATTCGTCTGCAGGCTGGAGGGAGAAATGGAAATGGGTGGCCAAGCTGGTGACATCTTAAATTGCCGTTGTAAATCCCACTGCAGTGTGTCTTCGTTCCCCTGAGGGCACGGTACAGACTTAGTGCCTGACTTTTTACTGTGCGGAAGTTTTGCTGATTTGTTTGATTCAGTGTGAAACAGTGAATGCATGACAGGCGTATTCTGTCAAATTTCAGCAGAGATACATAACATCCTGCTCCTACCAGGGGGCAGCAAGGCAAGTTCACTTCCATTCCCTGGCTCTTGGTTCCTCTGTGTCACGCAAAAGGTTTAGAACGGGACAGCAGCATTTAACGGGCACAAGGAGGATAAATTCAAGACAAGACAATTAACTAAAAGAAGAATAGGAAAACCAACTGGCTTTTTAGTCCACAGGCACCTGCACTTTGCTTATCATAATCCACCAGGACAGAACACTTTTAGGGACACTTGGTTGCTCAGCACTCAGATCTCTAGACTCCAGACTGTCCAAGATCTGAGCGGCACTTCTGGTTTAATACCATGTGTTCAACTTTAAAATAATTGTTCCATTCCTTCAGTAGTTTAGTGGGGTTTACAACAGGAAAAGACGCTGGAAGTTCAGATAAATGAGCATAGAAAAGTTTTCCTCTCTTATCTCTCCTCCCCAGCCTCATCTCTCTTAATTTTTTAAAGTTTTTCAAAACAAGGATGGAAAGAAACAAAAGCATTTGCTGATTTGGAAAAATTTTCAATAATAGTTTTTTGTGATTTACTCTTTACTTGATATGTTTCTGCCTGGAAAAAAAACATTAATCTCCAGATGTGCTTTACCAGAGAACAATTACAAAACATAGGTGATATCTATTATCAAAGTCTCCAAAACCAAGTAAAATTAAAATTAAAATAAAATAAAATTTAAATTTAAATAAAATTAAAAATCTTTTGTGTACTTTGCAAATTACAAATACAAACCAGATCAGTCACTAAAAGTTGCTTTTATGAAAGAAACATGTATATTCCACTTCCACCATATTTAGGACAAATTCTTTAATCCCAAAAAGCTTTAATCCCAAAGTTTCTGTACCACAAACTAAACCACCAAAAGTTATTATCAATATGAAAAAATTAAGCTTTTCACACCATAAATGCTTCTGTATAAGATAACCAACAAGTCACTACAACAAAAAAAAACCTTTTCCTCTTGCACTAAACAGGATTAAAAAGTCCTAAAGTCAAGAACTTAAAGGAAAAACCTGTGTATTCCTGTTGAATATTATTCTCAGTGCTTTCTGATTTTGCATTACTAACTTAGTATGTTTTTCCTGCTCTGCATGAATCCACGGTGTTTACTTCAACAGCTAATAATTCTTGTCATTTTTTCTTCAATTTTCCTCACAGTAGTACAGATGCATCCCTGATCAAGTGCCACCACCAGCTTTCTGCAGTTTTATTCTTGTTTGAAGTCTCCTACACAACTATGCTCCTGCCTACACCTGATTTTTAACTTACGTCCCTTTTCCCACGTTGTTTAACCAATATTTCCATGAGGGTATTCCATTTTGCTTTTCTTCTTCCTATTTTCTGTATGTTTCCCTGGCAGGATATCTATGAGCTGTTTCACTGCCTGGAGAGGGAAAAAAAACCACGAAGTAACTTTAAGCGTCCGACTTTCACTGTCAGTCTTGATCAGTGAAAAGCCAGTGCTAGAAAAGACATAATTGTTCATTAAACTGATTTTAGATGCCACAAAGATCAGATAGTCACCTCTTTTTATATCTATAACACATGCAGCATTGTCATACAATGCTAAGGAAAAAAAGTAGAGTTGCAAAACACAAAACTGGCAAAACAACAGCACTATTGTTATTAAAAACTGATAAGAAGAAAAGTGCTCAATATTTGAACCTTAGATGTGATATTACCAACTCACACTGGCAGTAAGTATGCTCCCATACACTGGGAACACTGAACAGTGTGTGCTGTTGAGGCTCTCTCATCTCAAAAAGGGTACAGAAGAGCTGGAAGAATTTCAGAGAACAGTGAGAATAATTAGTCATAAGCCAGGTTTTGCACAGCTGCTAGGATTTGTCTCTGAGTTCAGTGACAGTAAGGGTCTGTGGAGTCAGGAGAGTGTTAGAGTGGATGGACCTACCTCTCAGCAAAAGAAATGGCAGTGTTAGAAAAAAATAGCAATAATCAATTTCAAAACAAAGCTAAAACAAGGTAAAGTTTTCTCAGACAAGATATAGTTGGATTGAGGGCAGAGTTCGCATGGGCTACAGGTGAGAGTGGGCAAATTCATTCAGACTCATCTCACAGAAATCCCATGTGGGTAAGGAAGTCCATGAGTTCAAAGGAGCTGGAGGCTGGGTAAATATCCAGCACAGAGTAGTACTACGTACCTAGACCTCTTCTTACACTTTTACTTCACCACTTCATTTTTGTTGCCATGAGAACCAAGACACAGCATTGCACAGATCTCTCATCTGCTCCAGTATGGTTGCTCTTTTATTTTTCACTTGCATATGTTCTGTGCTCAGACATTAAATGTATCACAGTTTATTTCTGAAAACCCACTTCTTCAATTTATATTTGCAGTGGGAGAGTGAGGTAGAAAATATCGTGAGAGCCTTGTCCTCCATGCACATTGCATGACCAGATAAGACTTCAAAAGAACCAGAACTCAGCCTGAATGCCAGTTGCCAGCATGGGACAGTGTATGTGCCAAATGTAGATACCCAGGAATATCACTCTTTTCAGGGAACACACAGTCAAGTAAAACGCAGATGCTGTAAACAGTAACTCTTTTAAACTTCTCACCCACACACAAAAGATTTCTTAACTTTTCAGGGCAATAAAGGAAGCTATTTCAATCTAAGGAAATTGCCATCTCCAAAAGAGAAACCATATTTAAAAAACGATGTTCTACAATTTTGATGTACAAAATACATTCTGTTCCTTCGACTTACTGCAGCAAACTGCAGCAAGAAGAAAACACATGATACAGAAAATCCTTTTCCAGATTGTATATAAATAGTTATCTCTTGTTTTGTCAATCCTCTTCTCCTGAAAATATGACAAAGATTTGCTTACTGACAAGGTCCAGCACACTGCTCTGTTTCAGGCACCAGTGACCAACAAAATACAGAAGCAAATATCCAGTGTTATTCAGACAGGGATGTTCTTTTACACTTTTCAAAACTATGTTGCCCAACTGATCACAGTATCAACTCACAGGGCATACACCAGTCATCATAAAAGAGCTGAATTTCTCCCTCTGAAATGGTTATTAGTTCACAGCTCATTCATTACTTGAGAGGTAACTGGAATAAACAGATTCCAAAACGCTCATGGCCACTAAGCAGACACCAACACAGTGCATTAATCTTCATCAAAAAGCCTGTCACAAGGAGGTGGTTACCATAATTGATACCAGGGACAAACCAAGGCCTCAGCCTCACACAGGAAGAGTGAAAACAGGAGCCAGGTATTTTCAAACGGAGTG